GGTCTTCATTGTTCCCTTTAATTCCCCGCTCAGAAATTGCTCTCCATACAAACACAGGTATCACACCTCACCCGCTCTTTGCCAGCTACACCGTACTGTGCTGCCGCTATAAACTCCGCCCCCGTAACGCAATCTGACCAATGAGCGATACATCTTTCACAACAGCCCCACCGACGTATTCTAATTAGCTCGATGCAGACACGTGGTAGCAAAGCGGCAGCCCCCTCCCCTCCAGGTCCGGTCATGTGATCGCGAAGGTTGTGACGGAGATTTGAATGTGGCGCTTGTGGGCTCCATGGCGTCTGTTCTGGTGAGACCTCGTCAGTCAGCCCCCAGACATAATATGGCGATTTTCTCCTGGAGGAGCTGTGTATTCGTATGAGATAAACCTGTAGTGTGTCATAGGACTGCTTTCCTGTGCACTGCCCGGACAATGTACCGGTGACCTGGTGCCTTCAAAGGACTCCTATGTACAGTTGGTGGCTGGCAGTGCTCTTCATACACTGGATTCGGTGTATGTAGACTAGCTGGGTGGCAGTGGCCCTACCTAGTGCTATGATATTAGGAGCACTGAGTGGTCTCAGGTTCTTCTGGGGTTTGCTCTAAAATGGGATCTGTTAGGCACATCTGGACAGTGCGTTCAGCAGGCGATTCATTATTATTATATAGGATTTATATAACGCCAAAGGTTTGCTCAGCACTTTATAACGGGCGACAATACAGTTCAATACAAGAGGGATAGGAGGGCCTGCTCCTTGGAGCTTACAATATGAGGTATATATCTATATATTATTATTATACAGGATTTATATAGCGCCAACAGTTTGCTCAGCACTTTACAATATAACGGGAGACAATACAGCAACAATACAGTTCAATACAAGAGGGATAGGAGGGCCCTGCTCCTTGGAGCTTACAATATAAGAGGTATATATCTATATATTATTATTATACAGGATTTATATAGCGCCAACAGTTTGCTCAGCACTTTACAATATAACGGGAGACAATACAGCAACAATACAGTTCAATACAAGAGGGATAGGAGGGCCCTGCTCCTTGGAGCTTACAATATAAGAGGTATATATCTATATATTATTATTATACAGGATTTATATAGTGCCAACAGTTTGCTCAGCACTTTACAATATAAACGGGAGACAATACAGCAACAATACAGTTCAATACAAGAGGGATAGGAGGGCCCTGCTCCTTGGAGCTTACAATCTAAGAGGTATATATCTATATATTATTATTATACAAGATTTATATAGCGCCAACAGTTTGCTCAGCGCTTTACAATATAACGGGAGACAATACAGCAACAATACAGTTCAATACAAGAGGGATAGGAGGGCCCTGCTCCTTGGAGCTTACAATATAAGAGGTATATATCTATATATTATTATTATACAGGATTTATATAGCACCAACAGTTTGCTCAGCGCTTTACAATATAACGGGGACAATACAGCAACAATACAGTTCAATACAAGAGGGTTAGGAGGGCCCTGCTCCTTGGAGCTTACAATCTAAGAGGTATATATCTATATATTATTATTATACAGGATTTATATAGCGCCAACAGTTTGCTCTGCACTTTACAATATAAAGGGAGACAATACAGCAACAATACAGTTCAATCCAAGAGGGTTAGGAGGGCCCTTCTTACAATCTAGGTTCATGAACAGATCCACCTCGGAATCGGAGAAGAACTGGATGGATGTCACTTTTATCCACTAGTGTTCCAGCTCCATTCCAAAACTGAAGCTTGTAGCTCCTATATCAGATCTATGGGTGGCCAGATGTAAACTTGTGTCTGTTAAAGATTAAAGTTTTGGAATGGCCCAGCCAGAGCCCAGACCTGAATCCGATTTAAAATCTGTGGGGTGATCTGAAGAGGGCTGTGCACAGGAAATGCCCTCACAATCTTACAGATTTGGAGTGTTTTTGCAAGGAAGAGTGGGCAAATATTGCCAAGTTAAGATGTGCCATGCTGATAGACTTATACCCAAAAAGACTGAGTGCTGGAATCAAATCAAAAGGTGCTTCAACAAAGTATTAGTTTAAGGGTGTGCACACTTATGCAATCTTATTATTTTAATTTTTTATTTTTACTTCCCTCCACCTAAAAGATTTCAGTTTGTTGTTCAACGGAGTTGTACAGTTTATAGGTTACATTAAAGGTGAAAAAAGTTCTCAAATTTATCTTTATTTAATTTTTTTACATCACAGAAACCTGACATTTTAACAGGGGTGTGTAGACTTTTTATATCCACTGTACATGCTTGTCAAAAAGGTCCCTAAGCCGTTGCTGCTAACTTGTCCTAATCTGTAACATTTGGATTTTGGAGTCTCCAACTGAACAGAAGGCAGGGAAAGGGTTGAGTGCAGAAGAACTAAAAACACAATGACAGCATGAGTAGGAATGTGTTCATTTTACAACAACAGCTATAATGCAAAACTTTGGCTGAGCTGGTGTCATTTTGATCTGCAAGGGCAGGGTGTCACTGTCTTTTTTATCATCCAATAGGGTAAAATGTTACAGTGACAACTGTATAAGACAGGACTATCCCTTATTTCTCTAACTTCCTGTTGCATCTCTTGGATAGGAAGTGAAAAGAAATCTCCCTAGTGGGACACCAGTGGCAAAAAATAACCTGATATGAGATTTGATCCTTTTCTACTCCATCCAAAGCTTAAAGGAGAACTAAAGGCAAACTTTATTTTGTTTTTTTGGATAAAGTAAGGGAGGAATTTAACTCCTGTCATTTATTTATTGCCACTATTGTCCCATTGAGAACATTTCCTTTCACTTCCTGTTCTATAGCCAAAACAGGAAGTAAGAGGAAATTTTTCCAAAGTGAGTTGTTACCAGTGTCTCCAGAACGAATTTACCGTTTGGATGATTTCTTCTTTATTCTTGTTCTGGGGACAACCCCAAAATTGAGGATTTTCTTTTACTTTCACGTTTGGAGATAGCGGTAAACATGACACATATCTGGGGTGAATCTACAAAGGACACAGACCGCAAAAAAAACCTGGCAGAAGTTCTAATCCCTCTTCATTCTGGTTATACTGTTAAGAAAACGTTGGGATATACAGTATCTCACAGAAGTAAGTACACCCCTCACATTTTAATATATATTTTATTCTATCTTTTCATGTGACAACACTGAAGAAATGACACTTTGCTACAATGTAAAGTAGTGAGTGTACAGCTTGTATAACAGTGTAAATTTGCTGTCCCCTCAAAATAACTCAACACATAACTATTAATGTCTAAACTGCTGTACATACACTTCAAGGAATATTCATAAAGAAGTGAATGTGATATTCAACAAACATATGCTGCAGGTGAATTAATCAATGTAATCTAAAACATATATATCAGAACACCTGCAGTGTAAATGTCACATTCACTGCTTTATAAATATGTTCCTAAAGGGGGGGGGGGGGGGGGGGGAGTATGAATTAGCAGTTGTTCTGTCCTATAATTAACCTGTGTAGAGGAATCTTTCCAGCAGCCCATCTTTTATAGCTCATATATTTAATACTAGTATTCTAGTGCACAGATACCAATATTGTATTTTTTTCACCAGGAAGATCCAGCTCTGGAGCAGCATTTCAGAGGACATAAAGATGCAGTCACATCCATTGACTTTAGTCCAGACAACAAACAACTTGGTATTTTTTATGATCCCATATATTGTAAATGTAGATCATATTTCACTGGCAGGAGTCTGCAAATTTGATTGCTATAATAAAAGTGTGATTTAAACCACAACTGTATAGACAAAGTGATGGAAACATAGATGTTACATGAACTGTGATATGTGAAATGACCTTACAGCACAGGATGAATAACCCAAAAATTATGATATTGCAGAAAATTAACTAGTGATTTCTGCATGTTTGTATTGGTCAACTGACCCATCACTTACTATTTTAAGTATTTTATAAGTTCCTGTGTACTACTAGTCACTCTGTTATATAAGGTCTTAGGCCTCATTCACACGGCCATAAAACCTTTGCTGATGTTATTATACATGTGTTGTCTAGGAGAAAAATTCCTGTGTAATGATCAGTAGAATACTTGTGTATAGATGCATTTAAAGGATAAGTTCACCTTTTAGACAAAAGTAATAACTCAACATTGTTTTGCAGATAAATAAAATATGCAATTATTATTTTTGTCTGCAGGAGCTTGGAAAGCATTGCACCAACGATCAGTAGATGGCTGATGCCATGCAGGTCTCCTGCAGACCTGTCAGAGTATCTGCTTGCCGTACGGGGTGTACGAACAAGCAGGTGTACTGACAGGAAGCTTCAGTGAACTACCACGGTGCTCCACAGTGCTGTGGTAGTTCATTGGAAACTACAAGCCCACAGCCACTAAGGTTGCCGGAACTTGTAGGCACTCATTCACAGAACTCTGTGAATGAGTGATGCGGACATATGGGTGGAACCCCGCATGGCCATGCTGCTTTCAAATCTGACAGTACGGGGAGACTTCTCCCCGTACGATCTGTCGGGAGGGGGGGCGGCGGGCGCGGCTGCAGCTATGGGAACATGTTATATTTTCCACCCTAAAAATGGGTGTAACGTGTTCCCAAAGGTGAACATATCCTCTAAACACTTAAAGGCACGTATATATACATCATTTGCTTTTATGACAATTTATTTTTCCTCTTTAAGACTTGATTTACACGCTTACAAATGCATACACATGCGTTTATATGCGGAAGTTCTTAAAGTGCGTTTTCTCAGATGCAGATTTTTGGATTCTCTGTTACAGATCTGAAAACAGCTCATGTTTACGCAGCTGTGTTAATGGCTCTATTGAAAACAATACCACTGCATTCAGATCCTTTATTAACCACCTTCCGCCTGCCATATAGTACAATGATGGGCGCAAGGTGGTTCTCTCGTTCTGATAGGACGTTATATGATTTCCTTCCATTCTCACCGTGCTTGCGCGGCTCAGGGAGCGCATGGCGATCGGCGGTGCACTGTGTCCCTCGGACACAGCGGATCACGGAAAGAACCGAAGATGTCGGCTCGGTCATGTGATCAGCTGTGTCCAATCACAGCTGATCACATGTAAACACGGAAATGCCGGTTATCGGCATTTCTCTCCTCTCGAGCTGTCACGCTGACAGCTCGAGAGGCGAGGAGAGCCGGTAATCGGCTTTCTGCGGAGGGGACATGTACACAGATCATCAGAGCACTGATGATCAGTGTGCCCTGATGATCTGTGTAGCCCCAGCAGCGCCACCTGTCAGTGTCCATCGGTGCCAGCAGTCAGTGCTCATCAGTGCCACATATCAGTGCACATCAATGCCACATATCAGTGCCCATCTGAGCTGCCTTTCAATGTTGCCTATCAGTGCCAGTCAGTGCCGCCTATCAGTGTCATGTATCAGTGCTGCCTTTCAGTGCCCATCAGTGATGCCTGTCAATGCCCATCAGTGCCACTTATCAGTGTCCATCAGTGAAGCCTATCAGTGCCCATCACTGCAGCCTCATTAGCGCACATCAGTGAAGGAGAAAAATCACTTATTTACAAAATTGTATAGCAAAAACTAAGAAAAAGCTTTTTTTTTTTTCAAAATTTTCAGTGGTTTTTGGTTTAAGAAAAAATAAAAATCCCAGAGGTGATTAAATACCACCAAAATAAAGCTCTATCTGTCTAAAAAAAAAAAATGATAAAAATGTCATATGGGTACAGTGTTGCATGACCGCGCAATTGTCGTTTAAAGTGTGACAGCGCTGAAAGCTGGAAATTGGCCTGGGCAGGAAGGGGGAATAAGTGCCCTGTAGGCTAGTGGTAAAAAAACCACTAAAACACTTTATATGCATTTTTTTTTACAGTTGTGTGAATGAAGCCTTAAATATTTTTTTAATCATTTCATGGTCTGTACCGCTCTTACAAGCAGCATCAGAGTACAATAGACTTTGATGGTCGTTTCATGATGTGTGCAGTTCTCGGTTTGTTGCAGCTCATAACTGTTATCTCAAAGAGGTGTACACAGCCTCTCTAAATTTTTGTCGTTTAAAGTGGACCGTAGGGTGACATACAGTGGGTATAGAAAAGAATCACCCCCCTTTAAAATAATCACATTTTGTTGCTTTGCAGCCTGAAAGGAAGACCAACACTGCTTTTGTTTTTATCCAGCTGTATTTACTCAGTGCAACTTATAACATCCAAGTGAAAGATATAACACCAACATGTCAGTTTTTTTTTTATATATATACATGTATATGTATGTATGTATGTGTGTGTGTGTGTGTGTGTGTATATATATATATATATATATATATATATATATATATATATATATATATATATATATATATATATATATTCAAAAACAGAATAATGGAGTTTGAAAAAGGACTAAAATGACTTGTAAACTTAATCAGATGTAACTAATCACATTCTCAATGACACACAAAGCCATTTGACTTTCAACTGTGATCAGCTGTGGTCATTTTGATTAGCTCAGCATAAAACAGAGCTTTCCTGGAGCATTTCAGTGCCTGATAGTGCAACTGAAGCAAACAATTAATTATGGGTGGCAAGGCACTGTCAAAAGATCTATGGGCTAAGGTTGTGGATGGGCACAAGTCAGTAGATGGATACAAAAGCATTTCAAAGCCTTTATCAATTTCTAGAAGTACAGTGGAGCCTATTATTAGGAAGTAGAAGGTATTTGTTACATCACTGACCCTCCCTGGATCAGGACATTGCTCCAAATTGGATGACGACAGAGCCAGGTGGAAACTGATCAGAGAGGCTACCAATGGCCTGCAGCAACTCTGAAGCAGTTGTAGGAATTATTGACAAAGAGTGGTCATTGTGTACATGTGACAACAATATCACAAATGTGGCTTGTATGGGAGGGTTGTAAAAAAAAAAAAAAAAAAAAAGCCACTGCTCAAGAAAGGCCACATGCTGTCATGACTGAACTTTGCCAAAACCCACCTTGAAGATTCCGAGGCCACATGGAAAAAAGTGTTATAGTCAGATGAGACTAAAGTTTAATTATTTGTCCTCAACATTAAACAATGTGTCTGGCGCAAATCCAATACAGCTCACCATCCAAATAACACCATCCCTACAGTAAAGCATGGAGGTGGTAATATCCTGTTATGGGGGTGTTTCTCTGCAGCAGTTACTGGAGAACCTGTTCAAATAGGAGGAAAAGTGGGTGGGACAAAATACCGTCAAATTCTTCAGGAAAATCCTAACCGCACAGCAAAAATGACCACACAGTGGTTGAAGAAGAAAAGGGAGAATGTAATTGCATGGCTTAGTCAGAGCCCAGACTTAAACCTCATTGAAGATCTGTGGAATGACTTGAAGGCTGCAGTCCACAAACGATCGTCAAATTTATCTGAACTTGAGTAGCTCTGCAAAGAAGAGTGGGCAAATATTGCAAAGTCTAGATGTGCAAAGTTAGTAGAGGCATATCCCAACAGACTAAAGGGTGTAATTAAAGCAAGAGGTGGTTCAACAAAGTACTGAAACAAGGGGTGATCCTTTTTCCAACTCAGTGATTCTGTGTTTGAATTTTTCCTGACGTGTTGTCGTATCTTTCGGATGTTATAAGTAAATACAAAAGAGTAAATACAGCTGGAAAAATAAAAACTGTGTCTTCATTTTAGGCTGCAAAGCAACAACATATGATTATTTTAAAGGGGGATGATTCTTTTCTATACCCACTGTATTTTATCAGAACAGAGTTTGTAATTGAATGGCCTGGCACTGCCAGTGCACCTAGAGAATAGTTTAGGCGGCTACATGTCAAGTCATGTTTCTAAAGCCATGAAAGTGACTTACAAGCATTCACGTGTAGTAAATGTCATTTAAAATATATGCACCAGAAATATTCACCTGCAGAAAATGTCAGATTAACTGCATTATAAATATACCCCTAAGAGCTTGTACACATGGACGGCCATGGAGCGGTAAAAGCAGGAGGTTAAACCACAGTTTTGCCACCTGCGTAAACACAGAAATGCAGTCACTCGGGGCTGTACATATGTCACAGACATATGCAAAATTGAATGGAGTGTCACATTCGGGAGGTATTTCCACAGCTGAACATGACCTATTCAAGTAAATGGGGACATGCCACAACTGTTTGCAATGCACATGGTTGTGGCATGGTGGGTCGACATTTTGGGTCTTCACCACCTGTCAAATGCCCTCTGAAAAGTGATCAGTGACAACATCAGCTGCAAATGTGACCAAGCCCTAGGAGGCCATGTTTCAGGGTCACTCAAGCATAATGGTTTGTACAGCATGTAAGGGGGGTTGTCCTGCTGAATTTTGTCTTCATTCTGGGGCTTTGACTTCCATTTTAAAGTAAAATTTAGTGCAGGTATGTCTGTAGAATTTGATAAATTGAATAGAAAAAAATATTTTTAATGCAGAAAATTACTATATAACTATAACATTTTAGAAATACTTCACTGTAACATTTTGAGGTGAGCAAAAACGCTGATGTCTACTTTCAATCATTTACAAAATTGCTGATGTTCATCTTGGCATTATATCTCTACATATACAGTATATCATTAACATTAGAGTAACCTCAAATGGAATTGTGAAAATAGTACATCTTTTTTTATTAATGAGAAATCTTTTTAGCAAAAATGTATGCAGGTTTGAGAAGTTGTGTTGATATTTTAGGTAACGACTCATATAATGGATTTGTTGGCACATACAGTAACTGTATATAAAATGACTGACTGAGGCAGGGGTAGGCAGCCTCCAGCACTAGTGCCAGAGGTGACACTTGACAGCATCAAGGATGGCACCCAAGGCCAGTCCTGGAGACCCACCTCCCAAACAAGTTGGCCAGCAGCTGCATACTGAAGAAGCAGCGCGGCTGGTGACTGCCCACCTCTATTCCCGCTGGTGTTGGTTCCTGCATTGCTCTCTTCACACTGAAGCTCTGTCAAGTCGGATTCCCCAGGCTGCTTGTTCTCACTTTGGAAGATTAATTATATTCAGTATTTTTCCTCCTCTGTGGTGCAGCACTTCTTTAGCCTGAGCAAGCTCATTGTCAGGCTTTTACCATCGGTGTACCTACCCTCCCTCTGAACTTTTCTCTCCCTCACCATCCATGCACCTAGCTCAGCTTGGAGGGGATATAGCCAGAGAGGTTTATATTCAAAATGGCTATTAATCCCTTCCACAGCCATCTTTTATGAGTAACTCAATGCAAAGGAGGATTAATGTGGAGGAAGAAGGGTTTTAAAGGCTCGTCTGACATAACAGCTGTTGGGAAGAACTAATTTAGACTTCATTCACATGGGTATTTATCTGATTCCTGCTGCTATTTTTGGCACCAGTGAGCAGTTAGCTGCAGCTGCCAAGCCCGTACAGTACACTACAATGACAGGTTACTGGGTGCTGTAGCTATTCGTGATTGTTCACAGCCAGTGATTACCTGCGCTGATGGCTGCTGAACACACACTTTGTGTGCATTCAGCAGCGATCGCCACAAGTAATGTAGTGTGAACAGCCACTAATCACTACGGCTACTGGCAGCTTGTCATAAAAGTGTACTGTACAGGCTGCAGCTAGCAGTTCACAGGTGTCAAAAACAGCACCAGGAATTCCTGCCACTGCTATTCACCATGGCGTCCAAATAGAAGGAACTACTACTTTAAAACAAGGGTTGGTAACTACTACTTTAAAACAAGGGTTGGTAACTACTACTTTAGAACTTCTAATTGTAACTACAACTTCAGAACAGATATTGGTAACTACAGCCTTAGAATAAGGAATTAGCAACTTAAGGAATTGGGACTCAATTCTCCAATTGCATGGTACAGGTGGTGCTGTGTTGACTGGAGCATTGGCTAGTGTTCATTTCTGTAGCATTTTTCTGGAAACGGCTTAGTCCATTTATGCCGGAAGGTGCAGGAATTGGGGCTAATCTGAGGCCTGAAGGAGCAGAAATTGGGGCTGATGTGAGGTGTGAAGATGCAGGAATTGGGGCTGATCTGAGGTTTGAAGGTGCAGGAATTGGGACTGATCTGGGGTATGGAGGTGCAGAAACTAGGGGTGTTCTGAGGTGTGAAAGTGCAGGAATGGTGATCAGAGTTCTGGGGGTTCAAGAATTGGGGCTTATCTGCGGCTTAAAGGAGCAGGAACTGGGACTGATCTGATGCCTGAAAGCACAGGAATTGTCGCTGGAGAATGGGGTGTGAATTTGCAGGAATTGGGGCTGATCTGTGGTCTGGAGGAGCAGAGATTGAGGGCTGATCTGAGGTGTGAAGGTGCAGAATCTGGGGTGAGCTGAAGTGTGAAGGTGCAGGAATTGGGGTGATTTGAGCTGTAAGGGTGCAGGAATTGGAGATGATCAGAGGTGTAAAAATGCAGGTAATTTGTGTGATCTGAGGTGGGAAACTGCAGGAATTGGGGCTAACCTGAGGCCTGAAGGAACAGAAATGGGGGCTGATCTGAGTTGTAAAAA